TATGATCCTGTTAAATTCTATAAATTAAAAAGAACAAATTATATGAGTAACTATTGTCATAAACGTAAATATTATAACCTCATATATAGCCGGTGATACAAACAAATAAAAATACAATATGATTCAAAAATAAATACTCCTTCCCTTTCAATTTACATAAAATATTTTTCTTATTAGTCTGTTCCAAAAGAATGACACATTTTTGTATTTGGAAATAATTTAACTTTAAATTTTTTATTTTACCAATTTTATATATAATGAGAAGTTTTTACACCCATGCAAATATCATGGTCCCACAAAACTATTAAGATCATAAGTTTCAAAAGTTTTCTTTTTCATTCTTGAATTTTGTGTCAAGTCAAACTATATCATCTATATTGAAACTGAGTGAAGTCATACTATATCGAGTACTAACAAATAAAAATATATTCAGTAATATCTTAATTTAAATTATAAAAATATATTATATTATTATTTCAACATAATAAATTCTCACATCAGCATCAACTTCTACCAACCTAAAATTACACGGTGACAAATTAATATATACATACATGATAATTTATTAACAACCAATATATTCTAACTTTTGAAAATTACCAACTTATAAAACTGTTGGATCGTAATTTGCTCAATAATTTTGCTAGTTACCTCAATTTCAACCACACAATTAAAGTCACATTATTTTTAACAATTTAAATGATAACTTTGGGATATAGTTAAGATTAATATATTATAATTAAATAAATATTAACCTACTTTAAATATTTNTATAAAATCACCTATCTTAGATTAGATGGTCACCTCCATTTATTTAATTTAGCTCAAATTCATTTGTGTAATTTTGATCTTTGTGTAATTTGAAACCGGTATAAATATAAAATGTAGTTTGGGAATAACTTTACACTACTAAAATATTTTTATTTTTTTCTTCAAAAATATAAATCGATGCTAAGAGGTTTGGCTTTCAATTTGTATACATGTAAAATTCAATTAATTTGATTATACTAAAGCAATGCTATTAATTTAATTTGTTAAGTACTTAATTTTAATTGGATGAAAATCCAATTAATAAATGTACTTGCGAACAGATTCCAAAAATAAGCTCCTTTCTTATTATGGTACAAAGTTGCCATTTGGAAATTTCATTGATTAGAATTGGATTATCAATTCGAATACTTTATATAGATTGTCATTAAGTTTTTCCAAATTATTTATCCTAAAATGCCAAGTGGCTTTTTTTTTCCGTATGCCACTTGGCTTAACCACAATGCCAATTATATATGATAACTTTCTTGCTTTAATCTATATTATATTAAAAGCACGAAGGTCTTTAGTAAAATGTCGTTCGCCTTTTTTACTCTTTAAAACATAGCGTTCACATTGGACAATATAGTAATTTAAGTATTTCATTAATATTTAATAAAAATTTAACAATCTTGGAATGTTAACGAGATTATTTGGTAAATTTTTGCCACAATTATTTGTTATTAATTTTGCTTTAATTATTTAGTATAATGTTTCTTCACGTTTCTTACATAGGAAAGTTAATAAAAAAGTTTCCCTAAACTTTCGCTTCCCTATGACTTCGTTTGTTTGCCTTAATTATTTGGTAAAACTTGTCTTCATGTTTCTTACACAAGGAAAGTAAATAAAAAGAATTTCCTGCACTTTCGCTACTTGGTTCACTCTCATTAAATGACCGTATGTCTATTGGACTTTGGTTAAATTCCCTTTATTCTTTGGAGTAGTAAATATTTGGTAATTTTTTCATACACTAGAATAGTTAATAACGTTTTTTTCTTAAACTTTTACTACTTTGTTCAACTTTCAATAAATGACTTTATTTGTCATTAAATTATCTAAACTAGGAAATTTTGTAGTTAGATTCTCCACGAGCATATAATTCCTTTTATGTATCAATTTGTGTACCAAAATATTTCTATAAAAAAACCTACAATGTCACAATTTAATTGTCAAGCTTCGCCCTATTCCAACACCATAATTTCAGGTTTTGTATCTTTTACTAATATCAACATATTTTATTACTTCATATTTTGCAAGCACGTTTGCATGTACCAGATTTTATTGTTGCATCAACAATTTATCTTTATTGTTGCATCAACAATTTATCTTTATTGTTGCATCAACAAATTGTTATTATATAGTTTTTGTTTCATGTTTTGGATGTGGCTAATTTCACATCTCACGTAATTTACAAATTTAATACATATTATCGAACAATTGCAATTCATCACAAAAATCGATTAGACATTCGATCTAAGTCTTATTACTTAAATTAGTATTTTTTTTCTTTGCTATATGATAAATAATACTTATTGCTATGCCAGCTCAAGTTGCTTGTTTTAAAAAAATTAAAATTAGACTATCTCCTTTAATTCTGTGTAATATTAATACTACATGATTTGCATTATTTGCAATTGACATGCTTGAATCACTTAGATTTCAACAATTACATCTGTTCAGGTAAACAATCTTCCTTATATCATAAAAATAATCAATTATTGAATTAGTCACTTTGATAACTTATAAAACTCTTATGCATGCTTTATTTTCGGCTCACCTGAATGGCCAGTGAAAACGAATTATCAGACTAGTATGTCCCAATTAATAGTCTAAGAGTATCTGATTCGTGTTGGATAATACGAGTGTTAGTGTTTGAATAGTAAAAGAGTTCAACAATAAAACAAATCAAGGTACCCGAAAAATTGTGACATTAGTTAATGAATAGGTAATTTTTATTTTGTATCAATATTTTATTTCATGTCTTTTCATATTATAGTTTTAACCATCAGATTAGCTTAAAGTGAAACTTTTTACCGGGAACAAAAATTCACGCTATACTTTTCAATGGTTATATTGAGAAGTGGAAAAATTATTTACAACAAAATAAGATTTGTTACATCATAAACGGATACATCAATAGTGCCAATCCTAATTTCCAATCATCGCACAAGGAGCTTGAGATTAGATTTAAGGTGAAAACTTTAGTTGAAGAAAGCAATACTCACTTGTCGGCCATTGGTTTTTCAAATAATTTTATTTCATTCGATGAGGCATCAAAGTGCACCAATCGAACAAATTTTGGTAAGTTATTTAGATTTCATCCAGTAATCTTTCACTAAATATGTAAATAATATTTTATTTCTGTTCGCCTTATTAATTTTTTGATAATATACATTACCACATCCAAGCTTCGTTGTACCATTCAATTTAGTGTCTACACGCTGAATACAACTATTTCTTTAATGTAATAATTTTTTTGCATCGTCAATTGCTATTATACTTAATTCATTCTTATTCAATTAAATATGCACTATTTTAGACAGTTTACCATTTAAATATTTGTTACATCATCAGTTACCTTTATACGTAATTCATTCTTATTCTACCTAATTAAAATATGCTCTTTTGTGCATAACGTATAATACACGTGCAACACACGTACACTAAATCTAGTATATATATATATATATATATAGAGATAGATACCTAATTTATACTAGCACACTAAAGTTATCTCGAAAGAATGTGTGGTGAAAAAGAGGAAAGAAAGAAAGAAAAAAAGGAAAAACAGAAAACGTAAGAAAAAAATAAAAAAGGAGACTTTTAATATTAAATGTAATTAGTAATATTATCTCCAATTGTAAAATGACAGAAGGATATTAAATTATTTTTAGCCTTTTTTTTGCTCTCCGGGCTTTGAAAAAAGTGATTAGGTTATACTCTCTTCCTCTCATTTTATGTGATGCTGTTTGAATTTTGATTGCCAAACAAATTATTCTTTGACAATAATATTTTCATATGACTTTTAACTATTTTGAATTTTTAATTATTATGATTAATAGTATTTTTTAACGTAGTTTTCAAATGTATATATTTTATTTTGAAAAACTTACAGATTTTATGGCCAAATACATAATCAAAATTAAGAAGTTTGAATATTAAAAAGCAACGTATGTCATATAAATTGGATGAAAAGGGCCTATAATTTTTTTGTCTCTCTCTTATACGTTCATACGAACCCATTAGCTTGAGCTCAAATATTGTATAAATATTAAAATATTTATTAAATAAATATAAATAATAAATTTTGAACTAGCTTAAATCAAACAATCAGTGGTAGAATTCAGTTAAAATTTTGAATTTGTATCTATTTGCACGGAATAAGGTTATGGAGATAAGAAAGATTCCATGTTAAAATATCTGCTCTTACTTCTGGTTCAGAATAAGCATTATTTATTATTTATGTAAGCCATGGAATGTTCTCTAACATAGTAGAAACTATAGTAAAAGCTATTTATAATCGATAAAAAAAAATTCAGACCGCATTCATTCTCAAACATGGCTACAATTAACTTCTCATCTGTTTTCATATTGCTTTTACAAATCACAATTTTGATAATTTTCTTTCTCAGAAGGAAGAAAAAGACACTGAATTTTCCACCTGGAAGCAGCGGATGGCCAATTGTTGGAGAAACACTGGATTTTCTAAGAGCAAACAAAGAAGGCAAGCCAGAGAAATTCGTTAAAGAGAGAATAGAGAAATACAAGTCTAAAATCTTCAAGACTTCGATAATGGGGGAGAATGTGGTTGTAATTGGGGGTGCTGGGGGAAATAAGTTCTTATTTAGCAATGAAAATAAGAAAGTCAATGTTTGGTGGCCTGTAACTATTAGAAAATTGTTAGGACGTTGTTTGATTACTAGTGTTGGAGATGAAGCCAAACTCATGAGGAAGATGCTTTCTTATTTTATTAGTCCTGATGCTTTTTCGAGACTCTACACCAAAACCATGGAAGTTGTCGCCTTGGACCATGTCGACAAGTATTGGGAAGGTAACACCTCCATCACACAATATTTTAGGGCCCCTTTGGCCATAAAAAAAGATTCTCTTTTAAAAAAAATTCACTTTTTTTTTTCAAAATTAGTATTTGGACATTTCAATTTTCACTTGAATTTGAATTTCGGAATTTTTCAGACATTTGAAAAACTCTAAAAAGTTGTTATCAAAATTTTTGCTTTAAAACACTTACAAAATTCAAAAGTAGCTCCAAATTGTATTTGTGTCAAAACACAACTCTAATTTTCAAATGTCATTTTCAACTTAAAAAATATTTCACTTTTTTCGAAATTTTATAATTCTTATATCCAAACGCCCACTTAGTCTTGTTTGAGACTTATATACTATTCTCTCCCTTACAGTTTATTTGATGAGCAAGAGTTTAAGAATGAATGAAACACTTTTGAAACATGTGATATAAAACAGCTCATAAAAAGCTCTATGAATATAAATCATCACATTAAGGATAAAATAGAAAGTTTAAAGTTGAAGTGTTACTAAATAAAAGAAATGTGTCATTTCTTTTGGGACTAACTAAAAGAAAGAATATCACATAAATTAGAACAAATAGACTAGTAAAAATGTAGGAACGGTAAAGATTAGAGAAAGTAAAGAGAAGATGAGGAAGTTTGTTTAAGTGAGGAAGCCATTTTCTTTAATGTATACTAATGACGCATGATACTATTCCTTTTTTTTTGGTCCACTCTCGCATAGAAAACGAAGTTGCTTGAAAGCAGATTTTGAAATTATATAGGTGAATAGAGATCACCGATATCCTACTCGAGACGTAGTAATTGTCATCCCCAAACCAAAAGGAATGGGGAAAAAGCTCAAGAAAGCATTCTTTACAGAGGAAATATCTGAAAAAGTGTTATCGGGAAAGAGAAATTATAATATTGAATTGGTTTGAATAGAACAAATTAAAAATTCTTATAACTGGCTGATTCTAGTTTACTACTTGAGATTGAGGCTTATTTCTTGCTATTGTTGCAACACTCCATCGCACAGCCACAAGCCAAACTTATGAGATTCCGAAACACATCTGAAACTAAGACTACAATATGGCATTCTTGAACAAATTAGCTTAACAATTCTTGGATTCTAACTTCTATAGTCTATGGTGTTCAGACTACGTAGTTAAGTTGTTGGTTCATTGCTTTATTTTTTCCTAGAATAGCTTAAGTTTGTATATTCCGGTGTTTGATTAGCTACTGGAGAATATTTTCAGAAAAACATATATATGAAAAGTTAAATATAATATAATATTAACAAATCAGAATATATTGTTAAATTAAAACTTAGATACTTGTAAGGAAAATAACTTTTTCAAAAGTGAGGGAGGTCTTTTCCCTTTTGACTGTTACACAAACACCTGAAGTTTAACTTTTTATGAAAAATATTTTTCTGAAAATTAACTTTTGTCATATCCAGTATTCCCAAATTAAAGGAGGGTCTAATATTGGGAATCAGTCGATATTACCAACGTAAGAACTCCTCTAACAACCTATCCGATATAGCAATAACTATTGTATTTAATCTTTTTTTTGTGTGTGCCTTTTATTTATGAAGGTAAAGAGCAGGTGAAGGTGTACCATCTTCTCAAACTATACACTTTCAAAGTGGCATGTCAGCTATTCATGAGCATTGAAGACCACAATGAAATTGAAAAGCTTTCTGCACTTTTCAACATTTTCTTGAAAGGATTAATAACAATCCCTGTAAATTTACCTGGTACAACTTTTCACAAGGCAAATAGAGCTGTAGCTACCATCAGGAAAGAACTATTGCAAATAGTCAGAAAAAAGAAGAGAAGAATTGGAACAGAAGATAGCTTCACCTTCACAAGATATTTTGTCTCATTTGCTTTCCACCCCAGATGAAAATGGAAAGTTCATGTCTGAAATTCTTATTGTTAATAACATATTGTTGCTGCTCTTTGCTGGCCATGACACTTCTACTGTTGCTCTTACTTTACTCATTAAGAGACTGGGAGAGCACCCTCAAGTTTATGAAAACATTCTACAAGGTCAGTTCTTTATCTCGTTATATGAAATATTTTAATTTATGTTTTTTGTATACGAAATATTTTCATTTTATTATCTGTTATACTTTGTGGTCATTTATAAATTCACAGCAAACAAATTACTATCTCGTATTTGTCCTTGAACTTAACGAAATTCTAGTGTAGAATGTCCGAATTCCACATGTCAAAATACTTCAGAAAAAGGTCACAATCGGGACGTACGCAGGAATTTTTGTAACCAATGTCGAAATTTATAAAAGAGCGGGAATAATAACTTTGATTATTATACTCCTAGACAAGAAATAGTCTTAGTCTATTGGTTTTTTTAGTAGCTCTCTCAATTATTTGCAAAAAATTTAGGTTTGAACTGTTGACCTTCCAAAGCAAAATCAAGCATATAACCAACACAGCAAAAGACAATTTATGTCAACTGGTGTCATTTTTTCTTACTTATCCGTTTCCTCACAGCATTAATACATATATTTAATATAATTTTCCGACGGAGCGGTGTCGCGCGACACCACTTTGTTAGACATACATCCGTCCCTGGTCACTATGGTTTAAAATTACCTTCAATTATACTTTGGTTAGGGTCTACACTGGAACTTCGTTATGATCAAGGGTAAGTACAAGACGATTTGCTAACGACAAGAGTATAAATAGTCCCAAAAAGTAATGAATAATGAAGTTAAGATATTTCATTACTCCTACAGTGGAGGAATATTTTTAACCGTTTTATCTATTTATTTATTAATTTATTTGCTGATTTTTTGTATTTATGGGAGTCTGACAAGCAGAGCATATTAAGATAGCTTCAGCGAAAAAAGAAGGGGAGTCTTTGAACTGGGATGATATACAGAAGATGAAGTATTCGTGGAACGTACTTTGTGAAGCTATGAGGCTGAAACAACCTATAATAGGAGCTTATCGAGAAGCTATTATGGATATAAATTATGAAGGTTATCACATCCCTAAGGGATGGAAGGTACAAACTTCTTCTACCCCGTCTTCGATAATGTTTTCATGCACACACTTATCCAACTAAATTCACAAACCATTAATTTAACACAGATAGTGTAAAAAAAAATTCTTATATCATCAGTATAGTTTATCTAGTAGGTTCTTCATCATTTTTATCACATTATCTGATAATCCATTGAGTTTTTTGGATTTTATTTATATAACAGACAATATAATTTGCTTTATATAGTATCGGAGTAATTTAATCAATTGTACGAGCTTACCTACCTTATTTTTCAAATTAATAATTTCACATATGAAGGGGAGTCTTGGCGTAACTGGTAAAGTTGCTGCCATCTGACCAGGAGGTCACAGGTTCAAGCCGTGGAAACAGCCTCTTGCAAAAATGTAAGGTAAGGTTGCGCACGATAGACCTTTGTGGTCTGATCCTTCACCGGACCCCTATAAAATTTTATTTTATGTTGATAGTGTTCAATAATTAAACACGAATATTTACGAGAATTTTGACATGAGTTTAGCTTATATACAACGACAAACATAAAAATACTACATGTAATATATATGATAGTGTAAAAAATTCATTATTGTGTCACTGAACTATAAAAATTTACCTTAATAGTTTTAAAGTGAATTATTGTGAATAATTTTATGCACCCATCAGCACATAGAATTTAAACACAGTAACAACTTATATGATGTTGAAACAGTTCTACTGGAACACTACTTTAACCAGTCTGGATCCAGAGTATTACCCTAATGCAACAAGCTTTGATCCATCAAGATTTGAAGGAGCTGGACCTGCTCCATTTTCATACATTACATTCGGGGGAGGACCCCGAATGTGCATAGGGAAAGAGTTCGCTCGGTTGGAGGTGATGGTGTTTCTGCACATCATTGTCAGGAAATTTAGATGGAAATTAGTTGTTCCTGATGAGAGAATTATATATGATCCAATGGCTACCCCTGTTGAAGGACTTCCTATTAAGCTTCAAACTCACAAGCCTTGAGGTTGATCCTTACTTTTAATGGAGATACATAAAAGCATAGGGCGAGACCTAGCTTATAAGTTATTGGTTCACGTGAATCCTGTAGCTTTATCTCTATCCTTGTATATTTTTTAAGAAAATCATTAAATATCTATAATTATTTTTCTGTGAAACCAATTGTTATTGTATATTAACTTTGAGTTTGGCATAGGAACTCATACATTTTTAAATTTTGGAGGAAAACATATATATTGAGCCACATGAATCACACACCTCCTTTTTGCATTTATGTTGTGTAGATTTTATAAAAGCTACTACAGGAAGTAATGGATCTCAAACCTCTTTTGTATTTGTGTTATGTGTAATTGACAAAAATTTCTGGAAATCTATATCCAAGCCTATTTGACAGATTTTCTCAATAGGATCTAAGTCGTCTGAACTCCATATGATTTTTCAAGATAACATTACTTCACGAATCTTCGTGGATCAATGATTTTAATTTTCAAATATTAATAGACCTAATCAATCGATTAGTTTAGTTTAACTTCCTCCTTGTTTATAATTCAACTATAGCCGTGACATGAACTGTGACAAAATCATTCGAATTTACTGCTATCTTTTGCTTGAACATATCATGACTGCTTGAGTTTTACCAAAATGATAAACTAGAGAGAGAGAAAAAAAAGAGTTAAATATGAGATGAAGATCCATCCACACTCATCAGAAGGTTTCTTAATTTTACCTTTTAAGTATCTCATACAGAACTGAACATTTGTTTCTGATAGTACCTTCTTTTCTCTTAACATCAATCAGAATGAGAAGGAAACTAAAGAAGAATCTAAGAGCTGTGAGGTTGAAGAAGGACTGGAAGTCCTTCAATTGGGGTGGGCATGGGATCATATTCTATTTTCTCATTCGGAATCAATAGTTTCCATCTGAAATCTTTGACTACATTGTGGATAAAAACAAGAATCTCCAGCCGCGCAAACTCTTTTCCCAAGCACATTCTAGGCCCTCCCCCAAATGGAACATATGAAAATGGCGTCGGCCCTGCTCCTTCAAATCTTGAAGGATCAAACTTTTTGGTGTTTGGAAAGAACTTAGGATCCATGTGTGTTACAGCGCCGTTCCAATATAGCTGTTGCATCATATCAAGCCATCATTTAAGATTTGCATAGCAAGTGAATTATGCTTTTCAATTATAACGAGAATACATTGCAAATCATAATCTAAGCTAAAAGAGTGAACATGCACTTTGGTCCGGCCATCAAATGCGCCTCAATACCAAATAAGTTGAAATCAATTATATAAATTATCACTGTCCATGTTACTTTCCGTGTCAATCCAATATTATATGAAAAAAAGGAAGTTTTTCTCGCACTAGAAGTCACCAAACCGAAAAGCCAAACCAAACCGATTAAAAAATTCACTAGGTTTGGTTTGATTTGATTTGGTATTGAGTAAAAAAATCCAAACCAAACCGACGTATAAATATATAATTTTTATATATACTTTTAAGATTTTATATAGCATTTTCTTTTAAAAAAATCTAAAAATATTTGGGATTCTCTTATGGGATATAATATTTAATAAAATATGAAATGATCCATATTTATTAACTTTAAATAATGGGTTGTATGATCACTTTCTTATCAAGTATTACTGAAATGCGTCAACCTCTTTGTTCTTCCATATTTATATGTCAAGATCTATTAAATTCTTACATCTTTGTCGAATTTGAAGTGCTTGTTATTATTTAGGTATCATATTGATTTTTATGTTTAATTACTAAATTCGGTTAACCTTGAAAGTGTATATCAACGAAAACTTATTATCAGACGACTAAAAAAATAACTATCATGTATTACTAAGTAAATTCTCCCAAAAGTATATTTAATAGATAATATATTTGTCAATTTTTTAAATTTTTACTAAACATATATTTATTTATCAATTAAAAAAGATGATTGAAATAATATTTAAGTAATAAAAAATCCGAAAATCCGAAAAACTCGTCAAAATCAAACAAATCCAAACCGATATAATTGGTTTGGTTTGGTTTTGATAAAAACCGAACCAACCCAGTCCATGTACACCCCTAACCTAAAGTAAACGTGCAAAAATGATTAGAATTTTCCTTGGTATAACT